TTAGTTTGGACAAAATTACTGTTCCGTTAACTATCTCTAGATCGACACATTCAATTACGATATGGCAGAACAATGGCAAGTGAAAGAACAGCTGGTGAGGCGCAGGAGAAGGTGTATTCTGGTTATTAGCGAGACAGGATGAGGGTTGACCCCGAAAGTATTGCGGCAGGTATGAAGGGATATATATTTTGATCTATTTGCAGATTTAGCGAAAAGAAGAGTGAAAGGTGTGCTGTTAACTGCAGAAGTGTTCTTTTGGTTGGGGATCATTTAATTTTGCAAGACATCGAGCTAAATGTAATCTTGGCAGTTACAGGAAATGAATAAAGTTATGTTGTCAAATTCAGTATTTAAAAAGGCATTCACGACGTTTCTTTCTTTGTGTCCGTCTAACCATAGTAAGGTGTAAACAACTCCCCGAATGTCAGAAGCAGCGTCGAATCAAGATGTTACCCTTTCAGTCTGTGTACTTAAAAATTTCACAACATGTGAACTAGAAGTACGAGAACTACCTTATGGTGTAATTTAGTTTACCTTGCTTATACATTTTTTCTATACTAATTGATACATTGAACATTTAGCAGAATATGGTCTGGCCAGCAAACGCACGGTCTGATCAAACACCAGAGGAGTTTTCCCTCAAGGAGTACTATGAAAACCTCAAGTCAATACTCAAGAGATTAAATAGGTAAGAAGATATTTTTTGGCTACTACATTCTTTCTCACTAGGAAGATTGACGAGAGTCCGGAAACGCGACAAAAGATAATCCGCAAGCTGAACAAAAAAGGTGTGGACGCAGCAACTGCCAAAAAAATAATTAAAGCAGGAAAGAAGGATTCACATAAGAAGAGACGGCACAGTGACAGCTCCAGTGAAAGCAGCCAGTCAAGCAGCGACTCCGACAGTGATTCGGACTCCGAGTCTAGCAGTGATTCTGAGAGCAGCAGCAGCAGCGACAGCGAAAGCAGCAGTGACAGCGAAAGCAGCAGCAGTGAGAGCGAAAGTAGCAGTGACAGTGAGAGCGAAAGCAGCAGTGACAGTGAGAGCGAAAGCAGCAGTGAGAGCGAAAGCAGCAGTGGGAGCGACAGTGACTCCAAAAGCGAAAGCTCCTCGGATGACGACAGTTCGAGTTCGGACAGCAGTTCTGACAGCGAATCGGAC